CCCTCTTCTATCCTATATGCACTTTGAAACTCCGTACTAAGTTTGCCAATGGGAAAACATCCCAAATGAGAGGCTCAGAAGGCGGTGCCTACTGTGTAGCAGAGGTGGAATTCCAACAACGTTTGCTCCACGGTGCCCACGTGATAACTAGACCTTTATATTTGCAAATGCAGGTGGTTGAGAATACATTTTACACTATTTCTCATACAACTTCACCTCTGAAGAGGTGACCACGCCCCTCCCCCTCATTCCTCATGCGAGCATAGACAGCTTTCTCTCTCTCTTGTTTCCACTCATCTCTCTCCCCTCCTGTTATTTATTAAAATGCGCAATACAACAAGAAAAGATTATCCTGCTTCCTGACGTGCAAGATGATACACAGGAGGCCAAGGTTAAATGCAGCACTTGGTTTCTTAAGCTTCTCTAATGTACAGTGTGGAAAGCAATCTGGGACCAGAGCTCATAGCGGTAACTCTCTGAGGATAAAACCTTGACTTTAATTTGGACTCTCTGGCTAAGGTAAAATCTGCTCCTGCTATCATTATCCCACTTATGTTTGTCCCCTACTTTCTTTCCACTCTGCCACCCAGCTGAGTGGGACGAGATTAACTTGACCTTGAAGAATACTCAGAGAATCTTCAGGACCATCAGGTTTTCAATAGCCAATAAAATTCCAGAGGCCTACCAACATTTACATCATAGGCTCATAGGCCTGGAAAAGACCTTAGAAATGATTTAGACTACACATTTAACAGATGAGGAAAATGAAGTCCAGAGAGCTACAGTGACTTATCGAAAGTCGTGAGTTACCTGGAGGCAGGACCAGAGCGAGCATGAGAACTCAAACTGTCAAGCGACCCTCTTCCCCCGACACCACGGCTGGGCTCCAACTATGCCTGGTCCTTCTCCAGACCACTCAGGAGGGAGTCTGTGCACATTAGGGCTTTTAAAGAATGTTTGGCATTTCCCTATGTTTGAACCTTCCCAAGAAAAGCCATCTCAAAGGTCATAGAAAGGAGGCTGTTATTTCACCATTTTCTGCTTATGGGGTCTTTATCCAGCTCGGAATTATATATTGAAATTAAAATTGTATGTTTGTTTTTTTTTAGCCCAGGATTGATTAGCTCATGTCTTTCCCCCCCCCCAAAGCTTGCTTCCATTCAGGTTTCTGATCTGTGCCTGCCCAACACTCTAGACAGTATTTCCAGTTTTAGATTCTGCTGCAGACAGTGTCCAGTGGGTTAGAACCAAAATAAGGAGTATGAACAGATATCCATCCTGAACTCACAGGCTAAAGTCAGCTCCCAGGTGCGTTTCGTTTGTCCACACACAGTTTTTCTGAACTCACGTTTGGGTTTTACACCCGAGCCAACTCTAGTTATTCCCACTGACTGCCCGACCCTTCCTGTTTAAAACTTCTCCCCTCATGCCTCCCGGGAAAGAATACAGTTGTGAGTGGGAGGGTCTTGAGTGTGGGGCTGGCCGGCTAGCTCAGCTGGTTAGAGTGCAGCCTTGTAACACCAAGCTCATGGGTCTGGGTCCCCAGACTGGCCAGCCACCACCAACAAAACATAAAAATAATTTTAAAAAAATCAATGGAGAATCTAAAACTGACTTCCAGGGGCTGCCAGCCCTCCTATAACCTGAGTGATCAAAATTAATAAACAAAATTATTCCCCTACCTGGGCTTCTCTGAAGGGATGGTAAGTTTAGACTCCCATCTGTCTTGAAACAACAACCAGGTTTTGTAAATGCAATCCATACCAGGGAATTGAGGGAAAGAGTTAAATAAAATTATACTGCAATATTACAGAAAACCTGATAAGAGCTATTTGGAGAATTTTTGTCTAGTGTTACTACCCACTAGCACCAGTAATTTTTTTTTTTCATCTCAAGAAATGACCTCACCAAAATATACCTACACAACTGACTTTCATTTATTTTTTTTGTGAAGACATGAAAGCCTCTGTGCAGTTTTAGAGACAACTGTTATCCTTCCAAGTTTGTTTTGCTTTTTAAGCAAAAAATCTTCTGATTTACTGGCTTTCCCTGCAATCTACGTGGCATAGTTCTAAACTACTATCTCTCAGACAGATTTTTATGTAATGTAAAAAGATAAAGCCCAAATGAAAATAACAAATTGTAGAATGGAATTTAAGCTGTCATATATGAATTTAGTTGATCTTTATTCCCATAATAATCTTCAAACCAAAATACTTTATAACGATCTTTACCTTTGAGAGATATGTCTTTGCAGTTTCTTTTAAGTAGTTTTCTTTTTAAAAAGTTCAAACATTCCATGTTCCACAAACTCAAAAACCCTGTAACTAGTATAGAAAAAATTTTTTTTTACCATGAAATTCTCCATTTCCTTTACATGTGCTTGTGGTAAAGGAAAAAAAGTCCTTTTATTCTTACTGACATAGATTTATTCAAAATTAGTTCTATATCTACTCAGTAATGTTTTAAAAATTTATAACAAGTCACTTCTTTGGTGGCCATCCATAGGATCCACAGAAGTTAGGGTAGTATCTACTCTATATTTAAATACACTCTAAATATATTTTTTAAGTTTGTAAGTTGATATAGTTTGGATATGTTGTCCCCCAAAGCTCATGTTGAAATTTGATCCCCAGTGTGACAGTTTGGGGAGGTGTTTGGGTCACAGGGGTGGATCCCTCATGAATGGATTAATGCTCTCCCTTGGGTGGGGGTCCTGAGTGAGTTCTCGCTCTATTAGTTCCCGCAAGAGCTGGTTGTTAAATGGAGCCTGGCATCTCTCTCCCCTCTCTCTTGTTTCCTCTCACCATGTGATCTCCTTGCATCTCACGGCTGCCTGCCGTTTTCCACCATGAGCAGAAGCAGCCTGTGGCCCATGCCAGATGCAGCTGTCCCAGAATCAGGAGCCAAAGAAGCTTCTTTTCTTTATAAATTACCTAGTCTCAGGTATTCTATTAAAGCAACACAAAAATGGACTGATACATAAGTTAAAACCCCAACAGTGAAACATCAGAATATCCCCTCAGGGTTATAAAGAAAGAAATGTGGCTCTGAGCCTTCATTTGTTCCCAAAACAAAACAAAATAGCCCCTGGATTTCCATAGGAAACTGTTAGGAGAACTTCTGGAAATTCTCCTAAGAGAATTTATTTCCATGAGTTTGAGTGGTCGCCTCATCTAAAGTCCTGTCAACAGTCTTTCAACTGGGTTCGTCTACTCTGTGATTTCACTGGCCGATAGAGATTTATAAGATGCTGGCAGTGTTCAGGGAAGGCGGACATTCACAAAGCTCAAAGCTTTCACTTAACAGGGAGGAATATTGGGCTATATGCAACAACTGGGAGCAGAGCTAAGTAGTTTTATCCCTCAAGGCAGGGTGATTTTTTTTTTGGGGGGGGGGGTTAATTTTTACCTATTTTATGCCTGGGATAGAGGAAGTGTTTAATCACACAGTGTATAGGTACACCTAATTTGATTGTTTTTAAAAAGCATTAAACTCATTCTTTGGATCAACAGATTTGAATTCCAAATGCTGAAAACATTAGGGTTGCTGTAATCATACATTTTGTAAATTTGATAATACCTACTCTCTCTGTAGATGTCAGGTGTAGACTTTTTTTTAGCCGATGTTCATATCAGTCTCGTGTCAAAGGTATTAGGTTGTCTCACCCTTGTAGGATTTGTAAAAATACATCTTTGAACTTGATTCAGTAAAATGTTCAAATTGAAAGCAGCCTTGGCCCAAGTCCCCGGGAAAAACACAATTACTCATCTCACTCAAATGTTTTCATTTCCAGGAAATCTTTGGGCTATCACTGAGAATCCAAGTTCAAAGAGACAAAGCTATGCGAAAACAAAGTAAGTCAGTTCTAAAAATAGTAAATCTCTAACCCACCTGTCTTCCTGCCTGTGTACCCATCTATCTTGATTTTGTACACTTTGCTATTTAGGAGCCAAGGAGGCCATTGCTCCTGCTGTCTTAGGTGGGGGAGCTGGACTGACCACCGAGGAGGGGTGAGCCAGCATTTGAGATGCGTGCAGAGGTGCTTGTTCTGTCGGACTTTGTCACTATACTACAGACACACTCATCTGAAATCTCACTGGGGAAAACATTATGTAAGTCAAAGAACGGTTGACTTGACTGAGCTATTAATTTCTGGATGTGATGTATTGACATTATGGTCATTACGTTTTGAAGCTATTTTATTTTGAAGGCACCTAAGTTGAAAATGGTTTCCTGAAGTTTAACGTTATGTATACCTACTATCATGGGGAGGAAATGCCCCTATCCGTTCCTCCTCATGAGAGTAGCTTAAAGATGAGCTTTCATGGTTAGCCTGAAATACCTATTTTTGATGCCCTCAGCCTCACAGTAATAGAGTAAGTATATAGAAGCTTTATTATTTTATAAAGATGCATATTTGTTGAGGCTCTTGGCATGAATATAGAGTACCTGTTAGTCTGTGAAGTAATGGTTGGAATCTGGGACATAAGACTGGGGCTAAATTTCTTTGCCCTCCTAACCCCAGAGAGTCTTCAGAAAAATAGAAACAAAAGAGCACAAAGTACTTAAGGTAAGACACTGTTGTATTCATAATGTAGAGAAATAACACCGAGCCTCATGGACAGTAGATGCAGCTCTCCACGGGGCTGCAAAACTGTGCTAGTAATAATTTTAATTGGATGCTATCTTTGCTGCCTTCAAAAAGTATCATAAAATGGAATTATTACAGGCTCCAAGTGCACTTACAGTGCCAGCCTCTCACTGAAGGAAACAGATAACATCTATCCTTTGGAGGCAACGTCAATGGGCTTCTATTTGTTTCGTTTACACGCTTCCCCAGCTGCCTGCTATTTGCTTCCTCTTCCCTATGCCTAAGACATCAGTTTGAATTAGACACTGCAGAACTGGGTGCTAAGTTTTGCTGGCCCTCTGCCCTTGGGGACGGCACAAGCCCAGGGAAGGTCCTCTGCGCCCCTGGGGGCTGACGGAGAGCATACCTGGAGAGGATTGGGTGGCGTGAGCGGCGACGGAAGGCCGTGTCCTGGAGATTGGCTAGGTTTCTGAGGGGGGCTCGAACTCTGCTGGGTTGGAGACGGTTGGTTCTGGTTCTGGTTCTGGGAGTGGGGTGGGTGCTGCTGGGGCTGCGGAGCCTGCGGCAGCTGAGACGGAGGCACTGGCAGCTGCTGGGAGGCAGGTGGCGGCTGCTGGGGTGGGGCGGGCAGGGGCTGCGGCTGCTGGGACGGTGAGGCCACCGGCGGGGCTGGCTGTGGGTGCTGGCTGGCTGGCGGTGGCGGCGGCGGCTGCTGGAGCTGCTGGAGCTGCTGGAGCTGCTGGAGTTGGGAGTTCAGGGATGAGGTAGCTACGAGGAAAGAAAGTGAGGGTGCAGTGAAATAAACGCGATAAAACACCTGGCTGTGTCTGGACAGCTTGTCCCGTGCAAGCTGAGATGGGTCTCCTGTAGAAACAGTTTGCCATCTCACCTTGAAGCTCTGTGGTATTTGAAGGGGTTGTGAGGCACTGGGAGAAATAAAATCACTGCTTGCTCAATTTTAAAATTTAGGAAGAACCGGAATGTAACACACCTGGCATTACTTTTAAAGGCGGCGAGGAACACGAGCCAAGGGGGTGTAGGAGGAATGGAGATGGTTTTTTTTTTTTTTTTTTTTTTTTTTTTCCTTTTTT